CCCACCCATACAAGAAATATAATAATCAAAATCTAGTAACTATAGTGAAAAGAATAATATAACAATGTAGTGATCTACGGAATAAAACACTCGTATTATAATGATTAAGCTTTCCTTTGAATTTTATTTCTAATTTGTTATCTTACTTCGAAGTTCGCAATTCTATTAATGTTCAAAGAATTTATCAATTTATATGTTAAAAGCCTTGAAAATATCGTAAAAAGACTAAAGTGAGATCGTAAACCAAGAGGCAAGGATCAGCATGAACAAATACAAAAAAGAAACAACTGGCGTGACGTCGTGCGGCAAATAGCGAGAAACGCTGTGTAAACAGTACCAGGTATGTATTCGCCGTGGAACAACTCGCGCGGGTGCAACTGCGGCTGGTTCATGTCGTACGAGTGAATGCACCAGGTCTTCCAGTCGGTCCAGTAGAGCCGGTTGTCGTAGAACGTTATAGCAAACGGGTAGTCCAGGTCGCGGGTGATCAGCTTCCGCCTATTTTCACCGTTGTAATCCATCACGGCGATGAACCACAGTCTACCGTCCGCCCAGTAGATGAGCTTGTTGTCGTAGTCGACCGTCAGGCCGTTAGGCCAGAATATGTCGTCGGACACGATGACCTTGCGCGTGCTCGGGTCACCGTCCATCGAGGCGCGCTCGATCTTGGGCACCTCGCCCCAGTCGGTCCAGAAGAGGAGGCCCTCCATCGGCGCCAGGGCGACCGCGCGCGGCTGATAGATGTCCGTCCAGAAGAGCACCTTCCTGTTGCGGCCGTCGACGCTGGTCACCTCGATCCGGTTCTTCTCGCCGTCCGTCCAGTACAGCTTGTCCGTGTACCAGTCGCAGGCGAGGCCGTCGGGCGATATCAGGCTGGAGTTCACCACTGTCATCCTCTCGCCGCTGTGCGTGCCGTTGTAACGTATACACTGTATCATCTCCAGGCCGCTGTCGGACCAGCAGATCAGCCCGCGCTCGTAGAAGAAGTCCAGCGACGCGCCCTCCGACAGGTCCTTGATGATGGTGTTGACCTTGTTGTTGCGAGACATGTTGGCCACCCTGATGTCTTTGTGGGTGGCGAAGAGGAGGAGGGGCGAGCCTGAGAGACGATGGAATTCACAATGAAATAGCGTTTCGTTGCAAAGTGCCGTTCTTTTACGACTAAACGCACCGACAGCGCGGGGGAAAAAGTGAGAGAGAAAGAAACGCGTAGAAAGAGCGAGAGGGATGAAACGGAATAAACGAAACGCATATACACACAATACATATACAAACATACGACGTGAAGGCAAAACAAACACACGCAGAGTGATAACGGAGGAACATAGCGTTTAAAGGAAAGGAAGGGAGAAAGTGAAAGAAGAGAAAATAAGCTGCGTCTCGAAGGGACGTCTATTTTAGAAAAGTCGGAGAAACGACGGGTACCACCTACCATCGCAGGGAAAAACGTCGCAGCAAAGGAGACAAAAGACAGCGAGCCACGCACTCCGCGTTATCATGGCGAGGCGTTTGTTCTAGCTGCGAGTTTCACGTGTTCTCGATCGAAACGGGATAGCGTCCGCAGCCGCGTATCATCTCGTTGCCGCGTAGATGAGAGAGTAGTTTCCGCGCGGCGACACCACGTCCGCCTTTCTCGCGTCACCGGCCATTTGTGAGGCGCCCCACAGCGGCACAGCGGGGCCCCCGCTGGCCCCGCTCAGCCCGGCTCTATCGCCGAGGCTCCGAGTGTGTCGGCGTCTTCCCTCCCCCGTCCCCCCCCCCGTCCGGCCCGCGAGACTTTTAAGCCGGTGCCCCGTTTTACCGACGTCCGATGACGCGTGCGTGTAAACAAAGAGATCGGGACCACGTG